CGGCGCCACTGCTGCGGGCCGACCCGCGGAAGCCCTGCGTCCGACGAAGTCCGATTCCTTTCTGTCGTGTTCGTGCTCCTGGTGTCGTAGCTGAGACGCCCTCTCAGATCCGAGGTCGCGAAGCATTCGCCACGTTCTCTTGTGCGACGCGTTTGCTTCTCGCTCCCGCGTCTAGGTCGCCCCTCCGCGTCGCGATGATTTTCGAATGTGGGGGGGCGGGGGTTCCAACGACGTTCTTTGGCACGTAGAAATCTAGCTTTCCCGGTACTTCTGCTGCGAGATGATTTTAACCCCATCGCATGGATTCGAAACCCTGTCAACGCTCAGCTGGCCGTAACCGTACGGGCTCGTTTCTGGACGCTCCCTCCTGGTCCCGTCCGTGTGTCTGTCCTTACGCCTTACACCGCAGTCGTCATTCCTGTGCTTCTGTAGCACGTGCGAGATCGGGAAGTGCGAACCGTCCAACATTGTTTCCCCTTTTCACGAGTTTTGGCTTTTCGAGGCCGCCGCCGGTCCCGCAGGAGTTCGCGGATGAACGTTCCCGTTTCTGGCGCGCGACGCGGACCGCGTCCGTGTGTCGGGGCCGCCACCGAGCGCAGGGCTCTGTGCGCTCGCTGTGGCCCGGCGTGCCCGGTGCTGCTTCAGCCCCGGGTTCCTCACGGACCTTCCGCCCGGGGGTCCCGCCCACGACCGACGGGAGTCTGTCCCAGCCTCCCGCTGTCCTCGGAGAGCTGTCCACTTCTGCCCTAGTCCCGTCCACGTTTGCTTTATGTATTCTAGGTCTCTGTTGTGTGGTGCGTATGTGTTTATAATTCTTGTATCTTCTTGATCAATTGAGTTTTTTTTTTTTTAATCAATATATAACATCTTTTTCATGTGTCTTGTTGTAGTTGGTGCAGTACGGATGAATAGGTCCTTGGTCAGGGGTACGTCCATCAGGTTTTAGGGTCTTAGTGTTCCGATGGAGACTTAAGCCTTCTTGAAGAATGAGCTTATTGTAGAGAAAGTCAGCGCTAAGCACTGGCAGGCTCATCACCCCGCCTCAACAATTTCAGTCATCGGAGACAGAGGGTGAATGCCAGTCTCCGCTCTGCTCCCTGGCTCCCAGTGACATGCGTGCCAACGCCATTATCTCTTGAAGCTCAGAGAGAGAGGGACTCAAAGTGACAAGGTCTTAAAATCATGTTCTAGGGAGACATATCCGAGGCCGCCTGGGTAAGGATGTGTGTGCAAAAGTGAGAGAGAGAGA